AAAAAAAAAAAAAAAAAAAAACATTAAATAATACAGCTTCCGCGTTATTTATGCATTTTGCGCTAAAAAGTCAAAGTAATAAAAGAATAATAATATTAATAAATTTTCTCGGACAATTTTTATTATAATTTAAACGAAATACATATAAAAATACTCAAGCCCAAATTAGTTATTTGCTTTTTTTAGTTTTTTTGGATGAGCTTTTTTTGCATGCGGCTGCATTTTGTCTTTATTATTATTTTTTACATTGTTATTTTATTTCATTAGTTAATCCTTTGGAATACGAAGATCAAGGTTTCGAATCCGAAGAAAAACTCAACGAACAAGGTAACCGTTTTGAGTTTGCACATTTATTTTTAATTTTTTCATTTTGTTTTGAGTTTACTTATTATTTTTGTTTTGCTTTTTTTTTTATTTAATAGAATCATTTACCGAAGAATTGTCGGAATTGTCGTCTGACAATTATGATTCAGGTAAATATTTTTATTGAACATAATTTTATATGTAGTATAATTTTTTAAGAATATCGACTTGTTAAATATGTAATTTATTCTTAAGAAAAAATTTATTGTGCTTATTATTTTTTTTTATAACAGTCTTTGTAATTATTACTTTTTTGCTCGAGTAATCGATTTTATACTAACTATATATTTTGATTTAAAAAATTTCTACTATCAAACAAAATCGTGAATCTTTTTATCCTCTTTTATCTTTTATATCACAAAAGGGGCGTCCCAAAGAAATAAGTACTGATTATTCACAGACGGCTGACTAGCTAAAGTGCCGGAACACCACTTTGGTTGTGAGGAAATTGCGTAGTCCGTTCGTCTCTTTGCCTGCTCTTACAGTATTAAGGGAACCTATTATAACATTTCCGTCATGAGTGTGCTTTTAATTACACCCCTCTGGTTGCATGTTTTACACAGATGCTGGACTTACAGAAGAGGAAGTATTGTTGGAAAAAGCTACCGGCCATGACAAGGACGCAGAAAATGCAGTACAGAAATCAACTTTGGTTTTACGCCTTCGCGAAGACATCGACAGCTGCTTTGCACGATTACTTAACATCATTCACGTGAGTAAAATCATAATTTATCGATAAAACATCATTTTTTTTTTACA